ATGCGGGCCCCATAAGGACAGGGGCTCCCGCCTGAGACTTCCTCGCAATTCACTCACAGACGAGGCTCCCGCCTGATACTTCCCCCATGCTCAAGCCTCAGGAGCCCAAAAGTGACGACAGTTACAGAATCTGGATGACCAGCTCGGATTAACGACACGATCTGCGAACCCCATAAGATAGGGGCTCCCGCCTGAGACTTCCTCGCAATTCACTCACAGACGAGGCTCCGGCCTGATACTTCCTCAAGTGTGGGTGTGTGAGTGATTGATTGATTGATTGATTGATTGATTGATTGATTGAGTGAGTGAGTGAGTGAGTGAGTGAGTGGATGATGATGATTGTGATGATGATGACGATTGTGATGATGATGATGATGATGATGATGATGATGATGATGATGATGATGATGATGATGAGGAGGAGGAGGAGGAGGAGGAGGAGGAGGAGTGTGATGATGAGTAAGTGAGAGTGTGAGTGAGGAGGTGCTGGGTGATGAGGAGGAGATGGAGGGGGTGAGGGGTGAGACTTCCTGCGCGGGGTGTAGAGAGAAAACAAGAGCCCCACTTTGGATGTGGGGAAAACAAAAACTTCTCGAACCCAGAACCTCGAACCTGCCCGCCCTTCCTGCTGGCCAGAACCTCGGCCAACTCAGATCCCCAGACGGCTCCAATCCTCGGGTCCCTTCGAGTTCTCAACACTGAGAAATGGTATGCTGCCGGCGCGTGCGTGGAGCCTCAGGGGCGAAGGCGACGCACAGGGCCGGAGCGGCTCACAGGTCCCAGGGGCTCGAGAGCGCAAAACGGGGCCGTGGCGATGGGCGCAGCACGGGCGCGGCGCATGGCCACGGGGGGGCGAGGGCGACGCAGAGGACCATACAGTCGGGGATGCTTGGAGAGGACACGCGAGAGGACACAAGACCCTTCCGAGGGCCACACTGCCACAGGGATGCAGAAGGCATGGGTCGCGAAACACAGTACATCAGGGTACTCTTGATTTGGCAGGGTCGACCTACGTATCCGACTCGACTGTAGAAGTCCAGGCAGCCAGAGCCGTGGCAGCGGTGCGAGCACCGACGGGGAAGCGTGCGCAGCAGAGGGCCAGCTCCCGGTAACTCAAGCAATGGCGAGCTCCGAAGTGCAGGCAGTGCCTGGGGCCATGCATTGCCCATGGCGGCTGCATTGTAAGTCAAGCGTGAAGCAGCGGCCAAACCAGCCGAAGCCATAGCGGTCCGCGCGGCAACGGCCGATCGCGCCACGCGGAGCCAGCTCTTTGCGAGGTGGTGTCAGCGCGTGGACCCCAAAGGGCTGACTATCTGAACATGAGTGCGCGTGGGTCCATGTGTTGAACCCTGGGTACGGAGCCATGCGAAAGGGACTCTATGCGCGGGTTGATGAGTGTGTGAAGCCCGATGTGTGTGTGTGTGTGGGACCCTCTGTGCGGAACACAAAGCAGGCCCAAGCCCAGAGCCAAGGCGGCCATGGCAACCATGGCGGTCCAAACCACAGGGCCACAGCACTCCTAGAGGCCACCGCGGAAAGAGCTTGAGACAGGGCCGGCGGGGCGTGAAGCCATAGCGGTCCAAGCACAGGGCAGGCTGGAGCTCCTCGTAAGGCAGGCATGAACTCCTGAGTGCATGCACTGCTTGGAAATGCGTTCACGATAGTTCAGGCAGCACAGGCCTGGGAGTCTAAGCATAGGAATCCGAGCATCAACGGCCGCGCGCAGCACACAGGCCATGGGAGTCTACGCGCCGACAGCCAAATACTGCCCACAAGGCCTGCTCCTCACACCCTTGGAAAGATCCACAACGTGCAACCACTCTTTGAGGAGTACAAGAGACAACAAAATGAAAAATCAAGCATCCATTCCAAGCAACCAAAACCATACTGGTCCAAACAACAACCTCCAGACTGGCAAGACAGGCCATAGCGGCCCAAATAATAGAACGCCGAACTGGCACGACATGCCATAGCGGCACAGGCAACCAAAGGAAGAACGGTTCACTCAACGACAGCTGGTGGCAACACAGTCGAGGCCGCCCGCACAAAACAGGGCCAGTCCTTTAGAGCACAAGTGAAAACCTCTAAGTGCAAATACTGACTTTCAAAACCCCAGACCTCCGATCTCCGAACTTTCTGGGCGCTTCTGAAAGCTCCAAGGCACGTCCGGGGTGTGCTGCGTTACTTTTTCAGAGGCCTCGTGGGCACGGTTTGGGGCCCACACTTGCCACATGCCCTGAAAGGGTGCCAGGATCTGTCCTGGGACACTCTGATGGACCTTGTGGGCCATCTTGGAGGCCATGGGGGCTGGCCCAAGAGTCCAAGACGGCCAGGCACCCTGGGATTCCAAGAGAGTCCCAAGAGGTGAGGAATCTGGAGGGGCCCCAGGAGCCCTCTCCCAGTGATGGCCTCCGAGACCGAGAGGCCACCAGACAGCGCCATGAAGCCCCTGGAGCCATTGTTCCAAAGAATCTCCCCAACAAAAAAACCCTTAGAGGCATCCAACAGTCCCGTGGATCCGACCAGAACACGCTGGCAGATGGACCGAAAGCTACTAGATATGCTTTGCGCTGGGACGGGAAGCGCAGTGTATGTTGTGATGGCGCGAGATCGTTGGCGTGTCCGCGTCCTCTCTTCGGAAAAAACACACACGTGGGACAAAAGAACGCACATTGTGGGAACAACACACACACACTGTGGGAAAAAAACACAGTGTGTGTGCGCGGGGAAAACACAACAGAACAACAACCATCTCAGTGTGTTGTTTTGTTTGTGCTTTTTTCCCACAATGTGTGTGTGTGCTTTTTTGTGTTTGGATCCCACAGGCTCCCTGCCTCGGACTCTTGGACCGTTTCGACCGCCCGCCGTCGCAGTGCCGTGCTTCCCCCGCGTGGACCGCCAGTGCTCCAGAAAAGCGCGCGCGCTCTCCCCGCTCGGGCCGCCCGCGGTCCGCACGCCGCTTCTGCCCCCCGCTCGGACCGTCCCCCCGTGCTCGGAGGTGTCACAAAGAGAGCGTTTTCTCGCTCACTGCCAGCCTCGAACGTATCCCTATCCCTGAGATTGACACGCCAAAAGGCGATGACAATCTTAGGGGTTCGCCATCAAAAAGTAAGGGAATCCGTAAGATTGGCATCGTGATGAGGAGGTGCCCAGCGCAGGGATAGGGATATGTTCCAGGCTGGTAAGTTCAGCGTTTCGACATTGGGCGGAAAGGGGGAGGGGGGGGGTCTGGCTCTGGACCTCTGCTCAGCGCGACTGTCTGCAGCAGTGCGCCCTATGGGGGAAGCTCCACCTGCCCGAAACTGGCGCCAAAAACAGCCAAGGTCTACTCCATTTGGAGGGGGAAGGGGGGGGTGCGAGGGCCCGCGCCGATCGGCAAAACAATGAATAAGAAAACGATCACAAAAGAGAGCGTGCAGAAACCTTGTGGCTTCACTGCTTGACTTGCACGGTGGCCAATTCGCTACAACGGTGCCTCCGTTTAGTTAGCTGCATCCGCCAGCGCAGACGACCCCTGCCTAGCCGCCGACGGAAAAGATGTTTCACCGCTTGGACCGCCCGCTCTTCGGAAGCACGCGAATTCCCCGCTTGGACCGTCCGCTGTCCGAATGTCGTGTTTTCCCCGCTTGGGCCACCCGCTGTCCAGAAACATGTGTTCTCCACGTCGTGACCGCCCGCTGTCCGAGTGTTCGTTCTCCCCGCTTGGGCGGTCCATCTGCGTGCGGCGTCAACAGCAGCGGCCAGCTGGCGCAGAGCGAACCGGGGCTAGCTTGGGTCATGCTGACTGGGCCGTTTTCGGGCCCTCTCGGGCCATATTATGACGAGGACGACGACGATGGCGATGATGATGCTAATTGCTGGTGGTAACAGTGTGTGTGAGAACGGTGGCGACGGCTTGCCCTGCGACTCCGCGCGCGAACATTCCCTCGCAACGTTTTCAGCCATTCTGACTTCTGGTCTGGCCATACTAAGCTTGGTAGCAACGCAGGACAAGCCGTTGCCACGGCGCACGGCGCGCCGCTCTGTTCACGTGCTAACTGCTACCGGTCGGGACATTCAGGAAGCACCAAGCAAGGTCAGAGGGTGTGGGCGGCTGGAGCTGTGCGGGCAATAGTATCATCTGATGGTCGTTGGGGCAGTATTGTTGGGCTCTGTTGGGCGGTCTTCAGGCATTCCAGGAGCGATGCCAAGACGAGGTCAAGAACATCTCAACCTTGGATCGTCCTGGGCCAACTTTGAGACCAACTTGGGGCCATCTTGAGCCATATCGGGGACCTCTTGCTCCGTCTTGCTGGCCACTGTTGGACCCTACTGAGGCCTTCCAAGAGCGATGCCAAGACGATGCCGACAACATGTTATGTGTTGACGATGTACCTAGCGAGATCGCCATTTTGGGCAAGACGGATACTAAGACAAAGTCGACAACATCTCATTGCTGTGAGGATGTCCCTAGCGCAGTCTCAATGTTGGGCAAGAGCGACATCGACAACATCACATTCGTGTGTGAGGATGTCCCTAGCAGAATCGCCGTGTTGGGCGAAAGTATGGCGTGTTAGAACCATATGGTTGGGCTCTGTAGGGCCGTCTTGAGGCCTTCCACGAGCGATCTCAAACCATCTCATTATGTTGAGGACGGCCCCATCAAAACCGCCATTTTGGCTACTAGATCCCTGGGCCTAGGCCTGCCAACATGCTTGACACGGGGACGGGACACGCAACTTACTTTGTGATGGCGCGAGATCGCTAATCTTCGCTGCCCTTCCAGGTCCAAGTCGCGAAAAAAACAGCGTAGTGTTATGCGGGCTGTACCCTGCAGGTGACGACGCGCACAGCGGACTCGCGGACACAGACTCAACTCTCGCGAGGGCAATTGCAGAAAAAATATGAATCGCATGCGCCACCCGCGTGCAAAGCGAAAACCAGACCTGTAAAGAGCCCACGCCTGCGGGACGTGCGCTAACTCGCTGCTACAGCCGTCACTGCTTGACTCTGCATTGCGCCTACTCGCGTGTGAGCTTACCCCCCGCGGACTCCCCGCCCACGAGTGGCAGATTGGCGAAGGGCTGCCTGCAGAGGTTCTTGAAAACCAGCCCGCAGACGCGGCGCTCCAGCATGGTGACGGTGCGGTTCCGCTCGGCGCGCACCAGCCTCCGGACGCGGATGGTGATCTGCGCCTGCCGTTGGCGGCGCATGGCCCAGGTTTCCCAGCCGACGCCGCTGAACTCTGTCAGCATCACGTCGGAGGTGCCGTCGACGCGGACCCTCGCCATCGGAGAAGGGGTACGGTCCTGCCGCTCTCGGCCGCGTGCCATGCGGTGGCGGCCCTGGTCCTGCACCTCCTCGGACGTACCCGAGCCTGGGTCCTCCGCCTCCTCCTTCTCATCCACCAGCTCTGCCCCGTCGATGGCGTGGCGCTCGGGATCAGCGCCCATCAAACCCGTGTCGATGCCCACCCGAGCTGGAGGTTGGAATTCCTTCCCGCACATGTTTATCACTGCCTGGTTCGCCGCCGCAGCCATGAAGAAGCACTTCGGATGGGGATATCGTAGGTCTGAGCCTGAATGGCTTGAGCCAAACCCGCTTGAGCCAACATGGCTACGGAGTCGCATCCTTGGGAGTCTTGGAGCATTCTTGGGCCGCCTAGGGAGACTCTCGGGCTGTCGTCGGGCCCTCTTGAGCCGTCCGTTGGCCCTTCAGGCGGGATTTCAAGCCAATGATAGATGCAACATGTTAAACATGCGAAGTTGGATTTGCCAATTGTTTGAGGAAATTCACTACACTGTCGTTTTAACCCGCCTGGCCATTTCAACCCGCCTGGCATTTCCAACCAGCCTGGGCCTTTGAACCCGCCTGGCCGTTTTGACCCGAATGTCCACGTCAAACTGCATGGACGTTACGACCGCGTGACTGTTTTCATCGGCATGGATAGTTGAACCTGCCTGCCCGCTCTAACATCCCTGGCTCAATTAACCCACCTGGTCGTTTTAACCGCCTGGCCGTTTTAACCCGCCTGGCCGTTTTAACCCGCCTGGTCAGTTTAAGCCTCCTGGCCGTTTCACTCGCCTGGCCGTCTTAAATCGTTTGGCCGATTTAACTCGCCCAATTGTTTTACATCACCTGACTATTTGAACCCGCGTGGCCGTTCTAACCCGCATGGGCGTCTTCAACAGCCTGGCCGTTGGAGCCCGCTTGGTCGTTTGAGCTCCCCTGTCCGCGTTCATCCGCCTAGCCGTTCTAACCCGCCTAGTCGTTTCAACCGCCTGACAGCGCTGACATCCTTGGCCGTTTTAACCCACCTGGTCGTTTTATGCCGCTTGGCCGCCGTTTTCACCCGCCTGGCTGATTTAACCAACTTGGGCCTTTAAACCCGCCCGGTCGTTTTAGCCCACCCAGCCGTTTGAACCCATCTCTTAGTTTCAACCCGCCTGGGCGTATCAACGTGCCTGGTTGTTTGAACCCGCCTGGCCGTGATACCCCGCCTAGCCAGCCCCGCGGGTCGTCTTGGAGCGATACCAAGTCCAGGTTGAGAACATATCATGTTTGTGAAGATCTCCCAAGCGAGCGAAGTCGCCGTTTGGGCCAAGAGCGGTACCAAGACGATGTCGACGGCATCTCGATGTTGAGAAGATGTCCCCAACGAAATCGGCAGTATGGGCAAGACCGCGGCGAAGATGACGTCGACAACATCTCATTTGTGTGAGAATGTCCCTAACCAAATCACCATTTCGGGCAAGAGCGATGTCGACCACGTCTCATGAGTGTGAGGATATCCCTAGCAACATCGCCATGTTGGGCGGAAGTATGGCGTGGTAAAGCCTTCTGGTTGGGCTATGTTGTGCCGTCTCGAGGCATTCCACTAGCGATCTCGAAGCATCTCAGTTTGTTGAGGATGGCCTCATTAAAACCGCCATGTTGGCTGCTAGATCCCTGGGTCTAAGCCTGGCACAATGCTTCTCACGGGGACGGAAAGCGCTACTTACTTTGTGATGGCGCGAGATCGCTGGCTTGTCCGTTATTCCTCCTCTTACGCCCTCCCTTCCCCTCGCGCTTGTTGCATCATCGGGTCCTGGGCAATCTTGGGAGACTCTCGGGGGGCCCTCTTGAGCCGTCTTGGAGTCCGTTTGGGAGCCTCGTGGGCCGCCTTGGAGCGATACCATGACGACGTCCACAACATCTCAATGGACTGAGGGTGACCCTAACGAGATCACAATTGTGGGCAAGAGGGATACCACGACGATGTCGACAGGATGTCAAAGTGTTGGAGCTACCCTTAGCGAAATCGCCATTGTGGGTGAGAACTAGACCACGACGACGTCGACAGCATCTCATGTGTGTGAGGATGTCCCTAGCCAAATCGCCATTTCGAGCGATTCCGAGCACATCTCATTATTGTGAGGATGTCCCTACTAAAATCGCAATGTTGGGCGGAAGTATGGCGTGTTAGAGCCATCTGGTTGGGCTATGTTGGGACGCCTTGAGGCCTTCCACGAAGGATCTCGAGCAATCACAGTTTGTTGAGGATGGCCCCATCAAAATCGCCATTTTGGCTGCTAGATCTAGATCCCTGGGTCTAGGCCTACCAACCTGCTTGAGCGTTGTTCGTTATTTCTTTTCTTACGTACTCCCTTCCCCTCGCGCTTGTCGCATCCTTGGGGAGTCTAGGGGCCCTCCTGGGCAATCTTGGGAGACTCTCGGGCCGTCTTCAGGCCCTCTTGAGCCGTCTTGTAGTCCGTTTGGGAGCCTCGTCGGCCGTCTTGGAGCGATTCCAAAACGACGTCGACAACATCTCAATTGAATAAGGGTGACCCTAGCGAAATCACAATGTGGGGCAAGAGCGATACCAAGACGATGTCGACTGGATGTCAAAGTGGTGAAGCTATATCTAGCGAAATCACCATTTTGGGTAAGACCGAGACCACGCCCACATCGACAGCATCTCATGTGCGTGAGGATGTCCAAAGCGAAATCGCCATTTCAGTCAAGAGCGATGTCGGCAGCGTCTCACTTGTGCGAGGATGTCCCTAGCGAAATCGCCATATTGGACAACAGCGAGACCAAGACGATGGTGTGAATTCCCTAGCGAAGACGCCATTTCGGGCAAGAGCGATGTCGCCAACATCTCACGTTTGTGAGAATGTCCCTAGCCGAATCGCCATTTTGGGGCCAGAAGTAAGGCGTGTTAGAGCTATACAGTTGGGCCATGGCGGGCCGTCTCGAGGCTTTGCGAGGGCGATCCCAAGACATCTCAGGTGTTTGAGGATGTCCCGAGCGAGATCCGCATGTTAGCTACTAGATCCCTGGGGCGGTGGCTGGCAACCCCCTCAAACTCCCTCTAATTTCATGTTGCTCGGCTAACAAATCGAACGCTCTGCACGCTTTCTGTCACCTCCTCAAACTTCCCCTAATTTCATGTCTCCCGGCTAGCGGATCAAACACTATGAACCTTTCCGTCATCCGCCACCCCACTGGTGGGGACAGTGAGACACTGGTGGGTACAGTGTGGACAGTGAGACACTGGTGGGGGCACTGGTGCGGACAGTGGGGACAATGGGACAGTGGTGGGGACGGTGGTGGCGGGGACAGTGGCGTGGGGACAGTGGGACAGAGGTGGGGAGTGGGGACAGTGGGACAGTGGTGGGGACGGTGGTGTTGCGGACAGTGGTGAGAGCGGTGATGAGGACGGTGGTGGGACAATGGGACAGTGGCACAGTAGGGACTGTGGGGACAGTGGTGGGGACAGTGGGGACAGTGTGACAATGGTGGGAACAGTGGGACAGCTCAGCGGGACAGTGGCGGGGACAGTGGGGACAGTGGGACACTGGTGGGGACAGTGGGGACAATGGTGGGGACAGTGGGGACAGTGGGGAGAGTGGGACCGTGCTGGGAACAGTGGGGACAGTGCGACAGTGGTGGGGGCACTGGTGGGGACAGTGGGGACAGCGGCAGGAACAGTGGGGACAGTGGGACAGTGGTGGTGGGGACGGTGGTGGTGGGGACAGCGGTGAGTGCGGTGATGAGGACGGTGGTGGGGACCCGGGAGTTGTTTGCCGGCGGCGAATGGGGGTGGGCTGGGAGAGGGTTCGAACCGGTAGTGACCCCCCCCCCCCCCGGTTTTCTGGAGGTCGGTAGTGACCCCCATGGTTTTCCGGGGAGGTGGGAGGGGGGGGGGTAGGGGGGGTTTTGCGGGGGGAAGGGAGGGGGGGTTCGAGCGGGGGGAAAGGATTTCCGGAGGAGGGGGGGGCCGGGCTCCGCAGGAAGAGGGAAGGGAATTTTCCACAGTCAAGCGGCGGTGGATCACGCTCTCTCTTATCACAGGGGTGCTTGGCGTGCTAAGAGTTCAACTGTTCACAACCTGTCTGAAGTGTTCCAAGTCGCCTTCGCCTTGCTCCGCCCTGAGCGACTAACCTGGGCGACCTTCATCCCGCCGACCCAAACCGCATTTCGCCTGAGGCGTCCTCACAGAATGGAGATGCTAGCTCAAGCTTCAAAGACGGCCAGAAAAGCCTCTAAATGCTCCCAAGATGCATCCCAGACGGCCTAAAATGACCCCAAGACGGCCCAAGATGCCATCCAGAAGGACCAAGCCCCAAGGATGCCCTAAGGGGGTTCCAAGAGGAACTTCAGGAGTCTAAAATCACTGATTTCCCTTAGATTGCTCAGCGATCTCAGTGTGTTCTCGCCTTTTCGGGCTTCCGATGCTCTAAGACAGCCCCACAGGCCCACAAGCCCCAAGGGGCCTCCAAGAGGCTCGCAATCCGGCCCAAAGGGCCTCAAGACGGCCTGAAAGGCTCGCAGGGCGGCCCCAAGACGGCCCCTTGGACCTCCAAGACGGTCCCAAAGCGCCCAAATAGAGACCCACGACTGTTCCCCAAGACGGACTTCGGAGGCCACGAAGTCCCGTAGAGGACCCCTCAGGCCCGCAAGAGGTCCCCAAGAGGCTCCAGGAGGCCCCCAAGAGGCCTCTCAGAGGCCCCCGAGAGGATCACAGGAAGCCCTCCTTTTCCTCTTCCTCATCTTCCTCGTCTTCCTCATCTTCCTCTCCTCCTCCTCCTCCTCCTCGTCCTCCGTCTCCTCCCTCTTCTACTCCTTCTGTCTCTTTCTTCCTCATGTGTTCCCCCAAGGGGTCCACAACGGCTGGGGAGCACATGGTCCGATAGTTTGGCCTGATGTTGGCCCAACGTTTGGCCGCATGGTCGTTTCTAAAACACAGGGGGCGGCGGTGGTTCGCCCGATGCAAAAACTCCAAGGGCTGCACGAATTGGAACCGCCACCCCCTGTGATTGATCAAAGGGTGCTTGTGGTATGCCGATAGTTGTTGGCACTTCTTGACCTTCCACAGGGTTCCCAAACCTTCGGCCCGACCTGGAGCCCGCATCAAGCCTGGAAAACCCGTCTCCAAGATGGCCAAGATGGCCCACGATGGCCTCCAACACGGTCCAAGACGGCCCCAGACCGTCCACGAATGTGGCCGCACCGACGCTCCACGTGTCCCAAGATAACGATGAAGACTTCGGGAACTACACCAATTGACGACAGCTCCTTTTCGAAACCGTGCTGGGGCCCAATTGGTGAAGGCGTGTTTGTTTCGAACAGGTGATCAAAGCTTCTGCCAAGTACATGGATAAAGAGGCGGTTCGCTCTACCCCAGTGCGCTTCACTACATTCGGCGGTCTGGTCGCATCAGTCCAGTCCTACGACTGCTCCCTCCTCACATCGGCGGCAAGCGAGGGGGAAATGAGAAGGAGAAGGCCTCCTCATTCTCCGCGGAGGCCCTCGCGCCTTCTGAGAGGCTTCCTGGTGTCTTCGGGGAAGGCTCAGAAACAACTTCTCGACAAGCCCGGAGACTTCCCAGCCTTCTGAGAAGGCCCGTCCCTTCTCGTTCCCGCCCCCCTCGCTCGCAGGAGAGCTCAGAGTCGAATCGATAAGTCGAATCGGCGATCAAAATGAATCGGATCGGCGGAAATCGGCGGACTAGTTGGAAAAAGTCGAATCGGCAGACATCGGCAGGCTAGCAGGCCTCCATTGAGAAATCAGATCCCAGATCGAAATCCGAAGTCGAATCTAATCGGAATCGGAGTCCATCGAACTCGAAGCAGATCGAATCGGAGGAGTCGCCATGAGTCCTGCGCTCGTCGCCGAGCAACGGCGAAAGAGCGACAGACGGGCATCACCTTTCGGAGACCTCGCGGACTTCTCCGGCCAGGCGCCGTGCCCCCCTCCCACGCACCCCGTCCCGGGCGCGCTGGGACACGCGCTCGAGCCGCCGCCAGGGTTGCGGGGAGCAGGCCCCGGCGCCGACTCGAGACATCCGCGCGGCTTGCCGACAGAGTAGATCTGTGCCGCTTTTTGCTCTCTACAGTCTCCCTCCTCCTCCTCCTCCTCCTCCTCCTCCTGCTCCTCCTCCTCCTCCTCCTCTTCCGCTTTGATCAGAGGCGCAGCCGCGACGACAAATCTGAGGCCGATCGGACCCGCCGATGAGAATCGGTGGGCGACCTGATCGAGAAAAAAATACCTGCGCCGTGGTCCAAGTCTCGGAGCCTGCGGGGGCCTCAAAACTGCCAGCGCGCTGGGCGCGTGCCCGCTCAAAGTCAGTTCGATGAGGGGCCTGCTCAGGGGTTGAAGAAGCCGCTGTCGTTCGCGTAGACCGAGGCGAAGAAGAAGACGGTCAAAAGAACAACGATCGAGATGTCCGATCCACCGCTGCTAGTTTTCTTCTCATCACCCGCGGTGCGCCCATCCGCCAGCTGGTTCCGCCCGTACTCGAACCCCTGCAGGGTGCCTGGAGGAGGCTTCAGGTAGTAATCTCCTTTCTCCCACTGGGCCCAGAAGGGCTTGCCACCGGGAGCCCCGCCGTAGCCCGCCCTCTCGACCGACGGAGCCGAGGATCGCAGCCCCCGTGTCTGCGAAGCGCCGACAAACGACAGAGACTGCAGGCCGAGGTACGCAAACGCGGCCGCTGCGAGGGCGCAGGCGAGGAGCAACGAGCCGGAGCGGGCCATGCCTTCGAGTCTGGGCCTCGACGTGGCGATGCAGCACGGGGAGGCGGGGCAACAGTCTTGGACCGAAATAGCTGCCGGAGAACTGGGAGTCTGCTGGAAAGTATCTGGAGAGCTGCTAGGCACCAGGCGTGCGCCAGAAGTGGCCGTGACAGGCATGTCCCCTTCAAGCACAAGCGCGTGGCTCCTCCGCACGAGAGGGAGGCAGGGGACCGCCTTAGCGGTGCTAGGTCGAGTGCGCCTCTCCCTCCCCGCGCATGGGAAGAGGGGAAGACGAGAAGGGGGAAGAGGGAGGAGCCTGGGCGTCTCGCCTGAGACTTCCTCAAGACTTATGATCCTGAAGCTTGACAATTGCAACAGTTTCACGGATGCAGGGCGGGTGGTTTTCAAAATATGGCTCTCGCCTGCATTCGTCTCAAAACTTTGTATCAGCTTCACGGATGGAGGGCGGGTAGTTTTCAAAACGTGGTTCACACCTGCAAGGAGACGGAAGTAGAGAAGGAAGACAACGAAGAGGTGTCAGAAGTGGTATGGAGATCTTCCAAGACGTCTGAAGCCACTGAAACAAAAAGCGATAACAATGACTACGAACGATAAGCACAAAAACATTACAACGGTAAACAACACGACGCCGTAAAACATGGGAATGCATGCAGTACGTAATAACTGTCTGCCCTTCTCTGCAAGTCCCTCCTGGTCCACAACCTTGGCTGAGACACCGCTTCCCTTGGGATACCCGACGATTCCTACCCCACAGCGACTCCCGCGTTATCATACCTACTGGTGAGATATTCCAGAAGAATCACGTCGACCGCGCGAACGACCGTGCTGCCATGCCACCCCCCCCTCCCCCCTGCAAAGCCCTCTCGACGTCCCTGGTCTCCCCCTTCCGGTCTCCTCCCACAACTTCCAGAAGGACGACCAAATGCTCAAGAGGCACCAATCGATCGCAATATAACTGACGGAACATATGTGAGACATCAAAGTTGTGCAAGATCCTTTGATGGTTTGCTGATGTGATCGACGCTCTCCCCTGCCAACCTCAAGACGACTCCAGGACAGGTCCCCAGATGCTTCCCAAAAGGCCCACGGGGAATCTGCGCCTCCCAAGATGGTCTTGGATCGGAGGTTGCTAACAGTGCCCCTGGCCCAAGGTGCCCCCAGCTTTTCGATCGACCTTGGAGCCCCTGGAGCCCCCTGGGCCTCGTGAGGGGTGCTCTGGAGACCACGGGGGCTGGGGACACCTTGGGCCAGGGGCACTTCTAGCAACACCCGATGAAGCACCCAAGACGCGCCAGGACGGCCCCGGAGCTCGCCCAGAGCGGCCAAAGACCGCCTTTGGAGGGCCCAAAGACGCTCCCCGACGACCCCCCGGCCCTCCAGCAAGGCAGGCCCGAAGGGGCCACGAAATGGCCCAAAGAGACCCCAAGGAACCCCCGTGATGGCCAAAACACCAGGATGGCCCTACCCCCATACGAACTTTCCTCATGTGACCTACCGATTGCATTGTCCTGGGCGCGCGTGCCACTTTTGCAAGCGTAACTATAACTATCGGGCAATACGGGAAGCCCTCTCACAGACGTGCACGCCGCTGCTTTTTCTGCAATATGCTACGCGCTGCCGCGAGTGGGATCACAGGTGAGGGCACCGATGGGGGCCATCGTGAGATCACAGATGAGGGCACTGTAGGCCGCTTACGTGACACCTGCGAGGGCTCAGTGAGAGCACTTGAGACTCAGGCGCCTAGTCTGGCTGCCGATTGCTGCTATTTGTGGCCGCTTGGGCCTATGTTCGCCCCTCTTGGGGCCAGAGGACGATCAAGACCATGTTTCTTCGCGCGGGGACCACAGAAAGGAAGCCCAATGGAGCCCAATGTGCATCGGCGAGCACCAGAATATTTATGGCAAAGATAATCATGACTACGAGAATTGCGATGACGACGAGGCCGATCAAACAACAGTCCACGAAACAGCAGCCCTTTGACCAGACCGCGACAGGCCAGGAACTGACGGCCCCGATTATCGATGAAGTGGAGCTCAGGAAGGAAACGAAAGAGAACAACGACAATGAGGACAAAAGGAAAGATGTAGGAAGAAAGGGGAGGAGGAGCAACAAGACAGAAAGATGAGCACTGAAAAGGAAGCCAGGTAGCGCAGCGGATGCCAATCCAGCATAGAAGTGCATATCACAGGATTATGTACTGTTTTAGATATATCATCCCCTCCTATCCCCCCCACTCACGGGACGAACGCCAGATCCACAGTACCAAACTGGCGCCCACCTTCTGTGGCTTCATAGGCCAATCAAAGCCTACGGATAATTCATGAGTTTGGCATCGTGGGTTTCTGCAGAGTCGAGGGCCAAGAGACGCCTCGGCAGGGTCAAGATGGCCCAGGATAGCTCCAAGACGGCCCCGAAGGGCCCCACCACGGCCCAAGAAGGCCCCAGGACGGCTTCAGAGGCCCTCATAATGGCCCCAAAGGGCCCCAGGAGAGCCTCCGCAAGCAAAACACAAGGATATTCCAAAAATGTTGGAACGGCTTGACCGTTCTCGCCTCCTCGGGCTTCCGACACCCCAAGACAGCCCCGGAGGCCCCCAATGGGGCAGCAAGACGGCCCGGGAAGCCCCCCAAAAGGGCCCCAGGACGGTCCAAGAGGGCCCCAAGGTGGCCCAAGAGGCCCCCAAGACACCCCGAAGTGGCCCAAGTGGGCCCCAGGCCAGCCCAACAGACCACCAGGGCGGCTCTTGGAGGCCCCAAGCAGGCATCAAGACGGGCCAGGAGAGGTCCCCCAAGACGGCTTCCAAAGGCACAAGACGGCCCAAGAGCGCCCGAAGACGGCCCAAGACGCCCCCAAGAAGCCCCAAGAGTTTGGTCAGTGAGTGAGTCAGTCAGAGAGTTGTGCCAGTAAGACGATCCTCCTCCAAGAGAAAATACCGACTGCGCTATCACAGGAAGAAACCCTGGCGGAAGAAGGCCAGCGCCAAGACCAAATCGAAGTGCGGCGCGGAACAGACGCACGCCGAAGCCTGGAACAACAACGAGCAGACCGATGTTCGAATGTTCGGCAGCAAGTCAACAGTGAATAAGTCGACACACTGTGGTATAGCGACGCAAAATGAAAGCCAAAGGATGGACGATGGCCAAGCCATAAATGGAACGAAAAATCAACTCTGGTCATCTCCATGAGGTCGTAGTGGTGTCATTTTGTTACACGGCCTCATCAATATGGCATCTCACTTTGGCATGATAATGTAATGACCGGTCATACCAATATCCGCCATAGTGCAGACGGCACGTTTGTGCGTATTCTGATGCGTGTTAGCTGTATTGTCGGACATCTGTAATTGTCCAGGAGCGACACCATCCTCGCAGCGTGATGTTCTGAGAAAACGCCCACTTTACCTAGGTCTTCCCAACATACAGCTTGGCTACAAGATTGTCGCAAGATGCCCCCAAAGCATTAACAAGATCCTCCAGGGGCCCCAATGTCGTGAAGAGGCTTCCCGAGAAGCCCAGTGTCCTCAAGAGGAGATGCGCTCGAGCTCTCCAGAAGCGCCCTGGGATGCAAGAAAATATCTCAAACACACTGGCTTCCTTTTTATGTCCAGAAGGCTTCGGAGATCTCCAGGACGGCCACCAAGCCATCCAAGAAGCCCCCAAAAATGTCAAAGCAGCCCCAAGAGAGTCCCAATATGTATCGAGAATCCGGGAAGACGGCTCAAGATCGCATGAGAGGGCGCCTAGCCTAGTCGATCCCAAGACCCAGCCAGACAGCCCCGAGATTGTTCGACTGAGCCTCTTCCATGCAACTCGGTAGGTGGGCGTCTTCTTACTCGGCGCTTCGACATTGAGCGGAAGTAGGGGGAGGGGGGGATCTGGCTCCGGACCTCTGCTTAGCGCGACTGTCTGCAACAGTGCGTCCTGTTGGGGAGACTCCACCTGCTCGAAACAGGCGCCAGACAGCCGAGATCTACTCCAGGGGAGGGGGGGCGCGAGGGCCCGCGCCGGTCGGCAACAAAAATGAATAAGGAAACGATCACTAGAATGATCGCGCCAAAGAGTGGCCTCAAGAGTTTGTTTTTCACGATTTCCGCATCACGGTTGTCACCCAGCGGGGGAAGCCCTGGGTAACGGTAACGCCTGGGCGGGGTGAGGGGCACCTGCCCAAAGCCTGCGAACGCCGCCCCCCACCCTCAAAACGTACGATCGGTACCGTTACCCGAAGGGGGAGCTTGTCCAGGGTAAAGACTGTTACGCACCGGCCCCCCCTCAAAATGCACGATCAATACCGTTACCCCGGAAAAAGGTTTGTCCAGGGGGGTAACGACTGATACGCACCCCCCCCTGCCAAAACGTACGATCAATACTGTTACCCGAGGGGGCGGCCTGTCCAGGGCCATTACTGTTACGCACCGGCCACCCCCCCAAAACGTACGCTCAATGCCCCCTAAGGGTTGGTTTGTCCAGGGGGGCGATTTTTTTTCTTCTTCTGGCGCGCAACAGTCGTCCCCTGGTGCATCAGACAAGTCTCCAAGACACCCAACACGCCCCCAGGAGGCTCTCAAGAAGCATCCCAAAGGCAGCGCAACAACCACGCAACGTTACGGACGTACCGCGCCACAACATCTTCGCGCTGCTTCCCATGCAGCCCCAACATGACCATACCGAGCTTTGTTCGGATACAGCCATCGTGCTACCATAAGGAACTGGCATAAAATCCGCCGACCCACTCGGCGTGAGTGAGACGCTGTCGTCGTTTTCGTCGTCGTCGTCGCCAGTCCCAAGGAACTCTAAAAAACTAGCATCGAAAAGAAACGTTGTAAAATAAACGTCGTATTTAAGCTGGCTCCTTCCCCTTTTTCCCTTTTTGACGGGGGCGAGGAAAGGGGGGGTGGTAAGGGGGGGGGTCAAACTACCCACCCGCCCGCAAGCCGTCTAGCTCACCCCCACCCGCCCTCCCAACACATAGTAACACCCGAAACTCAGCATGTTCAGCGGTCGTCTTTGGATGGACAGCTACTGGGAACCAAAGCCAACCCCATGTGCGCGACGCTTGGGCGAGGTGGGCCACGCGTGCCAAGGGGGGCCCACGCGCGCCAGGCACCCCTGGGGCCCGCCTTGTGCGCCAGATGCGCCACGTGCTCCGAGTGCGCCAAGTGTGCCGCGCACCCCAGCCACGCCAGGTGCGCCACGTTCGGGGCACGTGCAGAGTGCGTCAGGTGCGCCCGCGCACATGACAGCACACATCGGGAAACCTATCGCCCCCCCCTTTTTTGTCGAAAACCAATGCCCATCATTGTGTCTGGCGAACCTGCGCACAGCAGGCAACGCGCCACCACCCCCGCGGCCCCCGTCAAAAAATTGTGGATAGTGATCGCGGGATGGCCGCGCATGATCCAAATCTAGCCGCGAGGTGCATGTTGTATTGTTTTTTGTGAGGGCTGGTAGCCCTGCGCGCAATAGAGAATATGCTGATACCCCGCCGTCCCTCTCAAAAACAATACAAAGTGCTCGCGGGCCTCGCGAGCATGACTCAAGACTTTGCCCCAAAGTGTAATTTGTATTGTTTTTTGACAGGGATGGTGGGGGGGCCGCATCGGGTTGACCGCGCATGCTCCAAATGTGGAGGCAGTGCGGTTTGTATTGTTTTTTGACAACGGTGCTGGGGGGGGGGTCGCCGTGGTGTCCTCATGGTTCCTGGTTGGACGCCGGTCGCCTGGGGGAGGGGGCGTATGTCAATAAGGAACAATGATCAAGACACCCTCCAGATAGCAAGCCGTCTAGCTCACTCCCACCCGCCCTCCCAACACATAAATAACACCCGAAACTCAGCATGTTCAGCGGTCGTCTTTGGATGGACAGCTACTGAAAACCAAGGCCGACCCCATGTGCGCAACGCTTGGGCGAGGTGCGCCACGCGTGCCAAGGGGGGGCCACGCGCGCCAGGCACCCCTGGGGCCCGAGCGTGCCTGGCACGCCTGGCGCGCCAGATGCGCCACGTGCTCCGAGTGCGCCAAGTGTGCCGCGCACCCCAGCCACGCCAGGTGCGCCACGTTCGGGGCACGTGCAGAGTGCGTCAGGTGCGCCTGCGCACGTGACAGCACACATCGGGAAACCTATCGCCCCCCCCCTTTTTTTGTCGAAAACCGATGCCCATCATTGTGTCTGGTGAACCTGCGCACAGCAGGCAACGCGCCACCACCCCCGCGGTCCCCGTCAAAAAATTGTGGATAGTGATCGCGGGATGGCCGCGCATGATCCAAATCTAGCCGCGAAGTGCATGTTGTATTGTTTTTTGTGAGGGCTGGTAGCCCTGCGCGCAATAGGGAATATGCTGATACCCCGCCGTCCCTCTCAAAAACAATACAAAGTGCTCGCGGGCCTCGCGAGCATGACTCAAGACTTTGCCCCAAAGTGTAAGTTGTATTGTTTTTTGACAGGGATGGTGGGGGGGGCCGCATCGGGTTGACCGCGCATGCTCCAAATGTGGAGGCAGTGCGGTTTGTATTGTTCTTTGATAAGGGTGCTGGGGGGCGGGTCGCCGTGGTGTCCTCATGGTTCCTGGTTGGACGCCGGTCGCCTGGGGGAGGGGGCGTATGTCAATAAGGAACAATGATCAAGACACCCTCCAGATAGCAAGCCGTCTAGCTCACTCCCGCCCGCCCTCCCAACACAGAAATAACTAACACCCGAGACTCAGCATGTTCAGCGGTCGTGTTTGGATGGACAGCTACTGAAAACCAAGGCCGACCCCATGTGCGCGACGCTTGGGCGAGGTGCGCCACGCGTGCCAAGGGGGGGCCACGCGCGCCAGGCACCCCTGGGGCCCGAGCGTGCCTGGCACGCCTGGCGCGCCAGATGCGCCACGTGCAGCGAATGCGCCAAGTGTGCCGCGCACCCCAGCCACGCCAGGTGCGCCACGTTCGGGGCACGTGCAGAGTGCGTCAGGTGCGCCTGCGCACGTGACAGCACACATCGGGAAACCTATCGCCCCCCCCCTTTTTGTCGAAAACCAATGCCCATCATTGTGTCTGGTGAACCTGCGCACAGCAGGCAACGCGCCACCACCCCCGCGGTCCCCGTCAAAAAATTGTGGATAGTGATCGCGGGATGGCCGCGCATGATAGGTGCATTGTTTTTTGTGAGGGCTGGTAGCCCTGCGCGCAATAGGGAATATGCTGACACCCCGCCGTCCCTCTCAATAACAATACAAAGTGCTCGCGGGCCTCGCGAGCATGACTCAAGACTTTGCCCCAAAGTGTAAGTTGTATTGTTTTTTGACAGGGATGGTGGGGGGGCCGCATCGGGTTGACCGCGCATGCTCCAAATGTGGAGGCAGTGCGGTTTGTATTGTTCTTTGATAAGGGTGCTGGGGGGCGGGTCGCCGTGGTGTCCTCATGGTTCCTGGTTGGACGCCGGTCGCCTGGGGGAAGGGGCGTATATCAATAAGGAACAGAGATCAAGACACCCTCCAGATAGCAAGCCGTCTAGCTCACTCCCACCCGCCCTCCCAACACATAAATAACACCCGAGATTCAGCATGTTCAGCGGTCGTCTTTGGATGGACAGCTACTGAAAACCAAGGCCGACCCCATGTGCACGACGCTTGGGCGAGGTGCCCCACGCGTGCCAAGGGGGGGCCACGCGCGCCAGGCACCCCTGGGGCCCGAGCGTGCCTGGCACGCCTGGTGCGCCAGATGCGCCACGTGCAGCGAATGCGCCAACTGTGCCGCACACCCCAGCCACGCCAGGTGCGCCACGTTCGGGGCACGTGCAGAGTGCGTCAGTTGCGCCTGCGCACGTGACAGCACACATCGGGGAACATGTTAACCCCCCCCATCTTTGTCGAAAACCAATGCCCATCATTGTGTTGGTGGGCCTGCGCACAGCAAACCACGCGCCACCACCCCCGCGGTCCCGTCAAAAACCATTTGATAGTGATCGCGGGGTGGCCGCGCATGATTCAGCTTAGCCGCGAATTGCATGTTGTATAGTGCTTTCTCAGGGATGTTAGCCCTGCCGTCCCTCTCAAAAACAATACAAAATGCTCGCGGGCCTCACGAACATGACTCCAGACTTTGCCCCATTATACTTTGTATTGTTTTTGTGACAGGGATGGTGGGGGGGCCGCATCGGGTTGGCCGCGCATGCTTCGAATTTGTAGGCGGAATGCGTCCTGTATTGTTCTGTTGACAGGGACGGTGGGGGGGAAGCATGGTTCCTGGTTGGCTGCCCGTCGCCTGGGGGAGGGGGTGTATAGCAATAGGGAACAATGATAAGGGGGGGATAAGGAGGTCAGATTACCGCCCCCCCTTGGGGGCCCGACAGCCTTCCCTCCCCTCCCCTGGGCGGTCCCACCTGTGGAGAAGGCGGACCTGGGGGTGATCTCCCTGTCGGCAGGGGAGCTCAGGACCCCTCCGCTCCCCACCTCGGCTCCAGCTCTGGCCCTGGTCCCAGCCCCGGCCCCGGCCCAGCCCCGGCCCCAGCCGTTGGCCTCCCAGCTCCGCCAGCCCCGGCCCCGGCCCTGGCGCCCCTGCGGCTCCGGCCCCGGCTCCGGCCGCGGCCCCGGCCGCGGCCCCGGCCGCGGCCCGGGCCCTGGCCCCAGGGCTCATGGGCCCCGGAGCCCCGGCCCCGTCGACTCCCAGACGCCCGCTCCCGAGGAGACATACGGCTCTCCTCCTACTCGTCCTACTCTTCCTCCTCCTCCTCCTCCTCCTCCTCCTCCTCCTCCTCCTCCTCCTGCCCCTCTTTCCCCTCCTCCTCTCCTCCTCCTCCACCTCCTCTCCTCCTCTCCTCCTCCTCCTCCTCCTCCTCCTCCTCCTCCTCCTCTCCTCCCTCATCCTCCTCCTCCTCCTCCTCCTCCTCCTCCTCCTCCTCTCCCTCCTCGTCCTCCTCCTCCTCCCCTCCCTCCTCTCCTCCTCCTCCTCCTCCTCCTCCTCCTCCTCCTCCTCCTCATCATCATCATCATCATCATCATCATCATCATCATCATCATCATCATCATCATCATCATCATCATCATCATCATCATCATCATCATCATCATCATCATCATCATCATCATCATCATCATCATCATCATCATCATCATCATCATCATCATCATCATCATCATCATCATCATCATCATCATCATCATCATCATCATCATCATCATCATCATCATCATCATCATCATCATCATCATCATCATCATCATCATCATCATCATCATCATCATCATCATCATCATCATCATCATCATCATCAATCATCATCATCATCATCATCATCATCATCATCATCCCTTCTCCTCCTCGTCCTCTCCTCCTCCTCCTCCTCCTCCTCCTGCTCCTCCTCACCCTCCTCCTCCTCCTCCTCCTCCTCCTCCTCCTCCTCCTCCTCCTCCTCCTCCTCCTCCTCCCTTTATTAGTTTGCTTCATTTCTCATGAGTACCAGAAATATTGTTAATATTAACATAGTATGCGATAATCGTAATCGCTTTCGTATGGTTGGCAATACGATTATTACTCTTAGCCGTAGCATTGTCATCACTAGTACTACTAGAACTGATATGCGTAGAAGTGTGCATCGTACTAATGATGCTATGTGTAATCTTCGTATGTCCAACATGATACTAGTAGTCGTATCATCAATATTCGTATGAATCGGTTTCTGATGCCAAGATTAGTCATCCTATGAGTGCTGTTCTTCCTCGTATTATTCTCAATAGTATTATTGATGTGATTGATCGGACTCGTCTTATTACTCCCACTCGCATTATTACGACTATTACGATGTTGTGTGACATTGCTAATAGTAATCGTCCTACTGATATTCGTATTGCTACGTTTAATCATCTGAGTATGATGACTATGAATATCAGCGTTCTTCTTCGTATCATTATTATGATATTTCCCTTATGATTATTACTCCTCCTCCCCCTCCTCCTCCTCGTCCTCCTCTTTCTTCTCTGCCTTCTCTGCCTCCTCCTCCTTCTCCTCCTCCTCCTCCCCCTCCTCCCCCTCCCCCTCCTCCTCCTCCTCCGCCTCCTCCTCCTCCTCCCTCCACCGCCCGCCCCATATCCCGAGATTGTGGCAGGGTCAACAGCTCGTCGGTATCGTTGTCGTCGTGGTCGTCGTCGTGGTCGTCGTCGTCGTCGTCCTTCTGGGTCGGCGGCGCTGGCCGTAAGGCACTCACGTTAGTGCGCCCCAGGCACGTGGGCTCGTGCAAAACTGAACTACTCGATTCTCCCACGCATGCAAAGAACCCACACGTTCTCCCACGCTCTATTCTCCCACGGTGCCATAAGGAACGCTGAGTAAAAACGAAAGGGCCAGTTAGGGCCGAGCCCCGGCCACGAACAGGCTCCGCAGCCCAGATTCGAGGAACGGCACGGAACTTCGAGCTCCTCCTGAACCCTAAGTGGTCCTTATTTAAGCGTCGTGACTGCAGCCCGGTAGAAAGGTCCTGCATGCATGCCGATGCTACGCTGGCACGGGGACGGGGCTTGCCGCAGGCAGCTGGATACCAACAAAGTCGCTGGCAGCGCCCTGCATCATCAGGATGTTCAAAAAGGGACTGGCGTGAGCCGCCTTCCTTGCCTCAGCGACACCCTCTCCAACAACACCGCACTCTTCGATTTTTAGCGCAACAAATCGAGCGGCCACGCGCTTGGCGTCGGCACCGCCAACTGCATACACTTTGTCCACATCTCCGCCCCCACTCTCATCAAACGCCAGAGTGGGCAGGCACCGCGAAAAGAGAACCTTGGCATTGAGCATCAGCCCACGTTCGTTATCGTAGCCAAGCATAAGGCCCAAGCCCCAGACCACGAGGCCCTGCTGCCGCAAGCGCATTTTCAGGCGCCGGCCTCTCTCATGAGCATTGAGCATGAGTCCCCTGCTGTGAATGCTACGTAGCACAGTGGTGGCTCGCAACACATCCGCGCAGCTAATACGACAGGTGAGATAGCCGTTCAGGTTTTCTGATCCAATGCGCAGCCTTAGATTGCGCTGCGTGTTCTCGAGCACACCTGAGAATCCAAATGCTTTGCCAATGGCAACAAAATCGGGTTGTGCACTGGAGCATGCTGATCCCAGGAAAGGCGCCCCAGTCCGCAAACCGACCATGACGGCGTCCTCAAAGAGCAAACAATGCTTCGCATGCAGAAGCTGTCGGAGGCCGCTGACGAATGAAGGACGCAGACCTACCAGAGTCCTTGCGAGGACGTACTCCACCACAACCCCGCCTACGTGATAGCCCGCAGCTTCAAGACGCTCAACCTGCACTTCGATGCGAGTCAGGCAGTCTTGCTCGGCCTTCGTCAGGGCTGCGCTTTCTGGACTGTTTTCATAGCGGCCATCTAACAAGGCCTCCCAATCATCAAGGGCCGCACGGGTGTAAGGACCGTCGTCTATCATGTGGCCATCTTCAACGCGCGAGGGTGAAATAGCATGCCTGGCAATATCGCGGGTGCCGTTTGCCCCTTGAAGCCCGTGCGCGCCACCTACATAAGCACCCCGGAAGAAGAGGAGCTTGGCATCAGGCACAGGCATGCCAATCCGAGCTGTAAGGTAGCTGTTCGCAATATCATAGAATGATTCCACAGCCTCAGTGCCTGAGCCTGCGATCGAAATCAGCTTATACTCTGGGGGCAACAAAACTTCGACCTGCGATGCAAGTTCTGAAGGCACTAACGGTCCAGAGAGTATATTAAACCTCTCTGCTTGATCCTCGCCACGGCACCCACCGCGCGCAATTCCCATCCAATCTTCAAGAAATTGTTCGGACTTCCATGCAGGGTCGTTTGCTGGCAGTGCGTGCCAGCCAAAGTTGTTCTCAAAATCAAAAATCACATGCGTAGCTTTGGCAAGCTGCCAACTCGCGTGCCAGATCCGCAATTCTTCGAATATTGCTCCAGCCTCCGTACTCAGAGGTAGACGCATCTCGTGCACCGAGCGACCCAGCATGCAACTCCGCAGGAGCGCGTGGCATGCCTCTATCGGGATATCTGCTGCGACAAAACTTGCCAGAGTGTGCCCGACAGAATCATCCCAAACGACATCCCACACATCTTGCGGTAAAGAGTTGTCCAGTGCAACGAAGCTTGCCCAGGCTTTCTCCGCGAGGTATCGTGATTGAGCGGCGCGAGTGCCAAACAAAGCTTGCGTAATATCAAGCATAACGATCCACGCGAGATTCACCTCGACTATCTCTGTTCACATGATAATCAGACTGCCGACTTGAGCCAAACTTGCGCATGCCGAATGCCTACACACGGCTTGTGCGTGAGTAGGGTGCAAGGTCGTTGCGATGATGGTTGATCTACTGAAGGGCGCAGTGGTGAGGGTTTGCCTGTGGAAGATCTTGTAACGAACTGTGTATGGAAGCTGCGGAACGGTGGTGGCCTGTGCATTGCATCGTTTACGTGAATCCTCACCTCTTGTACAGGACCACATGCGAACCCTACCCCTACCACCCTCAGAGATCGTGGGGGCTAGCGGTAGGGTTCGCAAGTGGTCCCCTATATTGTTCCGCTGCGGTGTAATTCGCCTGCCAGTCGGTGTTCCGTCTACGTGCAACGTTGCAGCGCATGCTATTTTTGTTTGCAGGTGCGCGCCCTTGCTCAGGTTGCGAACAACACAGATCACAAGCTCATCAGAAGATTCTCGATTGCTCCTCGCAGACCACACACTTCCATCTGGAATGCAGAGGTTGCCTGCGCCACATACTCGTGGACATGCCGTTTACGACCGGCTTCGACTCGGTAGGGAAGTGTTGGACCGATTATCAGCTGCCTGGTCGGGATTCTGAAGTCTTCCAGGGGCCGACCTCCGTCCACTCGACGCAAGCGCCGTCAACCACCGTCACCCCCAAAGATTGCTCTCATGACGCTGCGCCCCTCCTGATCCACACCGCTTCCCGGCATCCCTGGGCCTCCAGACAGCTCCAAGGCGGCCAAAGACCGCACCGAGACGGACCAGCGACCCCCTCTGAGGCCACCAGACGTCCCCAAGAGGGCCCAAGAGAGCCCGAAGCCCCCCAAACGACCAGAGACGGCCCCGAGATGTCCCCGAGACACACCCGAGACCGTCCGAAGACCCACGGAGCTCCCGCCTGCTGGGGCAAAAGGGCGTGTGAAACAGTGGGCTGTGCGCCCCCCCCCGGTTACCCCTCTCCCAGGGCAGGAGAGCCCAGAATCGAATCGATGAGCCGGATCGGCGATCGAGATGAATCGGATCGGCGGAAATCGGCAGCCGAGTCGGGAAAAGTCGAATCGGCGGAGATCGGCAGGCTAGTATGCCTCCAACAAGAAATCGGAACCCAAATCGGAATCCCAAAACGAATCGGATCGGAGTCGGAAGCAGTCGAAGTCGAATCGAATCTAATCGGAGGAGTCGAAACGAGCCCTGCCAGGGTCAAAACTCCTGTCAGAGGGGAGGGCGGGGCAAAGGGGGGCAACGAGCTCATCAACGCGCCTCCTGGCCTCCCCGGGGCCTCCAAATGCACCCTCCGACGCAGGAAAAATGCCCAAGATGCTCTCCAAGAGGCTCGAGACAGTCCAGCGCGCCGACGAGCCCTGAAGCAGACCCAAGATGGCCTGAGAACCCTCCAGAGGGTCTCACGAGGCAAAAAACATGGATCTTCCTGCTAATCGTTTGGAAACAAATCGTGTTCCCGCCTATTCCATTTCTGAAAGCCTCAAACGGCCCAACAGTCCCCCTTTGCTAACACACATTGATCTGCGAAACCAATCCGACGCTCCTTGTGCTACACCCATCAGGTCTAGGGCCACGGGCCCGACAGCACAATACAAACCCTGGGCTGTCTCCATGACTGGAAAAAACAGGAAAGAACACTCAAACATACCGATCCTCGAACCTCATACACCCGCACCCCTCCCGCCTCATCATCATCATCATCATCATCATCGTCATCATCATCATCATCATCATCATCATCATCATCATCATCATCATCATCATCATCATCATCATCATCATCATCATCATCATCATCATCATCATCATCATATCATCATCAGCAGCATCATCATCATCATCATCATCATCGTCATCATCATCATCATCATCATCAGCATCAGCATCAGCATCAGCATCAGCATCAGCATCAGCATCAGCATCATCATCATCATCATCATCATCATCATCATCATCATCATCAGCATCATCATCATCATCATCATCTCCATCATCGTCATCATCATCTCCATCATCGTCAGCAGCATCATCATCATAATCATGATCAGCAGCAGTAACATGAGCATCATCATTATCACCACCACCACCACCACCATCATCATCATCATCATCATCATCATCAAGCCTCCGTCCTCCCTCCCTGTCATGCTTCCTCCTCCTCCTTTTCCTTCTCGAACCTTTCCCCATCCTGAATCCTCCTCCTTCTGCTCCTCCTGCCTCCTCCTCATACCTCCTCCACCTACTACTCCTCCTCCTCCTCCTCCTCACCTCCTCCTCCTCCTCATCCTCCTCACTATCATCATAATCGTCACCATCACCACCACCACCACCACCCATCATCATCATCATCATCAGCATCATCATCATCATCATCATCATCATCATCATCATCATCATCATCATCAGCATAATCCTCCTCCTCATCATCACCATCACCATCATCATCACCATCACCATCACCATCACCATCATCATCATCATCATCATCATCATCATCGTCATCATCATCATCGACACCATCATCATCATAATCATCATGATCAGCATCATCCGCATCATCATCATTATCATCAGCAGCAGCATCATCGTCATCATCATCAGCATCATCATAGAAATAATAATGGTAAGAATACTAAGAATAATGATTGTCCGAATGAAAATAATAATAAGAATTACAATAACCCATACTAATAATCATAATACTAATATGTATCATCTCAATAAATTACAGTAGTAACAATAAACATATAGAATTCAAAACGATAGTACTAATGCTAATGGTCAGTAGCATCATCATCACCAGCATCATTATCACCATCAGCAGCGTCATCGCCACCATCCATCGTCATCATTAGCATCATCATCAGCAGCATCAGCAGCATCATCATCATCGTCATCATCTCAGCATCAGCATCAGCATCAGCATCAGCATCAGCAAAATCATCACCATCACCAACCCCACCACAATCATCATTATCATCTATCATCAGCATCATCATCATCGTCGTCGTTATCGTCATCGGATCATCATCATCATCATCATCATCATCATCATCAGCATCATCAGCATCATCATCATCATCATCATCATCATCATCATCATCATCATCATCATCATCATCACTTCGTCGTCGTCGTCGTCGTCGTCGTCGTCGATATTATCATCGTAATCGTCATCATCACCATCATCATCAGCAACACCATCAACATCGTCGTCATCATCACCGATCATCATCATCATCACCATCATCATCACCGTCATCATCACCATCATCATCAGCAACACCATCAACATCGTCGTCATCATCACCGATCATCATCATCATCACCATCAGCATCATCATCATCATCATCAGCATCATCATCATCATCATCATCATCATCATCATCATCATCATCATCATCATCATCATCATCATCATCATCATCGCCATTATCATCATGTCCGCCTCCTCCTCCTCCTCCTCATCCTCCTCCTCCTCCTCCTCCTCCTCCTCCTCCTCCTCCTCCTCCCCCTGACCCTCCCAGGCCCCTGCCCCCTCCACCTCCTCATCCCCCTCCTCCTCCTCGTCCTCCTCCTTCTCCTCCTCCTCCTCCTCCTCTTCCTCTTCTCTCCTCCCCCTCCTTCTCCCCCTCCTCTTCTCCTCCTCCTCCTCCTCCTCCTCCTGCTCCTCCTCCTCCTCCTCGTCCTCCTCCTCCTCCTCCTCCTCCTCCTCCTCCTCCCCCTCCTCCTCCCCCCCCCCTACTCGATGTCTGGGCCGCCAGTCCTCGCCGCCGGGAGCGTGGCCGCTCTTGGTTTTTCTTCTCTTGCCTGAGGAGGGCCCAGCGGTCTCCTTGCAACGGCGGGCGCGGGACCGCATGCCGGGGAGGAACGTGACTCAAATCGACTGCGCGCAGGAGTGCCCCCAGGCCAGAGTGGCCTTTGGCGCGCGGCGTCAGGGAAGCGGAGGGGGAAGGAGTTGGAGGCGAAGGAGGAGGAGGAGGCGGAGGAGGAGGAGAAGGAGGAGGAAGAGGAGGAGGAGGAGGAGGAGGAGGAAGGGGGGCGGGCTCCTCCCCGCGGGGGTCTCCTCGGCAGACGCCTCTGGAGGTCCTGCGGGTCTCTGGATGCCCCCCCCAAGCGTGACGTTGTGCAAGCTCGCCAGCCAGCGCTGGCGGGAGCCTCCCTGGGGCTCCATCCAGATCCCGATCTCCGTCGCTGGCGTCGCCGCCACCGACCCCCCGTGGGCGCCTCTGGCGTCGACCTCGCCGTCGCCGCCACCGTCGCCGCCGTCGTCTAGAAGAAGGGGAAACAAAAACAGCTTCAACAGAAACTTTGGGAGGTCCACCTCCTCCTCCTCCTCCTCCTCCTCCTCCTCCTCCTCCACCCCGTGGGCCCGCACCAGAGGTCACTCTGGCGAAGGGTTCCTCCTACGCGCAGCCGACGCACGACCTCCGGCGGACTGCCTCTGCGGGATCCTGGCGCCGTTCCTCTGCTCCGGCCTCTGCAGGGCGTCCCCAGGCCGGCCCAGTGGGACGGATCCAGGATGAAGGACCGAACATGGGGAGCGGGACACTTGGCGGCGCGCGCGAGGGGGGGCAGAGGGGGGGGGAAGGCTTCTTAGAAGGAGGCTGTCCATTAGAAGGCGCTGGCCCTACATCTGTAGACAGGGCCCGCGCCTTCTGAGAAGCAGGGGCGCTTCTAAGAAGCCTTCCCCTCTGCCCCTCCCTCCCCCTGCGCGCGGCTGGGACAGAGAGTTCTGAGGCCCGCGGGACGAAAAATCAATCCGTCGGAGGTCTGGGGACCGCGTATTCGAGGCGGCGCGCAGGCCAGCATCGGTCACTTCTGGACGTCGTTGGCCCTCTGGCCCCTCGGAGTCGGATCCTCTCGGCGTTCCCCCGCGCCCAAACTCCTCGATCCTCGGGGTTCGAGGATGGAGATTTTAGGACGCTTCTGGTCCCTCTTGGGCTTCCCAGGGCCTCTG